TCATTTCTGTTAGGCAGGAATTCTGAAAGTATACCAATGCTGCTGTGCTAGACCCTAAGCATGGACCAGCTACATGGCATTGTCTGTTACAATTTACAAACATCACGACTTATAAAACTGACAGCTCTCTTCAAGCTTGCCAGTTGTAACATGGCTTCTTTAGAGCAATTTTCTCTGGGGAGGAATTTACTTATTAACCTCTGTTAAGATAAAGGCCATTCAGAGCTTTTCAGTCGTAGGCAAACTGGCCAGAAAGGGAGCCCAGCGACAGTGTTCCACTCCCCATGGACCCACACCCAACCTCCCGACCCTACTTCATTTCATTTCATTACCTTCTTTTTTTTTTTTTTTTAAAGATTTTATTTATTTATTTTTCCCCCAAGGCCCCAGTAGATAGTTGTATGTCGTAGTTGCACATCCATTCTAGTTGCTGTATGTGGGACGCGGCCTCAGCATGGCCGGAGAAGCGGTGTGTCGGTGCTCGCCTGGGATCCGAACCCGGGCCGCCAGCAGCGGAGCGCGCGCACTTAACCGCTAAGCCACGGGGCCGGCCCCATTTCATTACCTTCTGATGTGCAGGGTAATCTGCTGAGGATTTCAAAATGGTCATTAGGGTTTAAGATGCAAGAGGAGAAGATTGTAACCTGCTTTGCTTGGTCGATTTGAATGTTGGTTCTAAAATCCTTTAGGGTCATCAATATATTGAAGGCAGAGAGACGAAGGTACGATGGTGCTGTTCAGAGAGGCCGTATCTAACTAAGTCCAGCCTGAGAGGGCGACCTCGGTGACCTTTGATATCAGAGCTCCCTCCTTTCCCACTTTCCAGACCCTTAACACTTCCCCCTCCCCATCTGGGAAACCACCTTACAACTGCACAGATGCTTTTGGAAGAGGCCCAAGGAGGCTTGTTCTATCTGTGCTGAGGCTGCTGTAGATTCCATTTCTAGTTGCTAAGCTGCCAGGAGCTGTGGGATTCAGAACACTGCAATTACAGGCGAAGTGAGAGGCAGAGCCAATTTTAAAAAGTACTTACTTTTCACTTCCCCTGCAATTCTGTCTCTAGCCTCTTCCCCACAATTTCTGAGGCGGGAGAGTGGAGCGGCTAGGCAGGTAGGTTCTCGAGCTAGGCTACCTGGACCTTCACACGAGACCTCGGGCAAGTTACTGACTAAACCCTCTGTGCCTTGGTGTTTTCCTCCACAAAATGGGTAGAGTAAGTGTGCCTACCTGCTGGGAGTTATTACAGATTAAATGAGGAAATATACCAAAAACACTTAGACTGATGACTGACATATTGTAAATGCCCGATAAATGTTGGATGTCACTATTTTGTGTGTAGGCAGAACACAGGTCAAGCATCAGCAACATGTCACAGAAGTGATGGCAACACATTTGTCAGGAAAAGACTGTTTAGATACAAACTTCACGTGCAGGATTATAGGAATTTTTAAGCTGCACACCAACCAGTAAAAATACAGATCTGCCCAGTGGCAGATTTCTAAGACACTTGTATGTAAAGAGAAGGCTTCCAAAACAAGAAATGCTGTGTGGGAATTGAATCTCTTTGTTTCCTACCCTGCTCAGGAGAAAGCCAGCAGAGCTACTGGGGTTCAGGGGTGAAGAAGGCCAGGCTCAAAACAGGAGCAATTGCTTCAAAGCCGCCAGGACCCTCTCCCTTTCTGGCCACCAAAGCCCAACTTATTTTTTTCCCCAGGTGAATCTGATTAAGTTAATGGTTTAAGGGAAAGTAACACTTCCTTCTGGTAGTTGTCTTTTTTTTTTTTTATAATTTTATTTATATATAAATAAAATTATATATAGATAGTTGTATGTCATAGTTGCACATCCTTCTAGTTGCTGTATGTGGGACACGGCCTCAGCATGGCCGGAGAAGCGGTGCGTCGGTGCGCGCCTGGGATCTGAACCCGGGCCGCCAGCAGCAGAGCGTGCGCACTTAACCGCTAAGCCATGGGGCCGGCCCAGGTAGTTGTCTTTTTAAAATTTCTGCTTAGCCTCTGAGACACCTTCTAAGTCCTGCAAAGACATTCTAAAAGTGAAACTGAATTCTGAGGAAGAGGCCGTGGCTGACAACATTATATTCCCTGTTATAACCCATTTGGGATTGTTCTGGAGCTGACAGATGAGCAAACTGGATTCTTTCCCCCCACGCCTCCCCACCTCTGTACATTTGGGTTGTTCTGAATGTTAATGGTCTTTTAGAATACATAATAATAATCACATTAGAAAAATTAATATTTATTAAGAACTTGTTTGGTACCCAGCACTGAGCTGAGCACTATAAATCCTTCATCATATTTAATGTTCTAGTGCTGCTTCCAAGAAAGAATGGAATGCTGGGAAGGAAAGTTCTACAAAGCCCTCTGGTCAGCATTGGGCTAGGAAAGGGTTTATGTGTCTGGCTATTCCAAGTGCTAGAAAGTTCTACAAAGCCCTCTGGTCAGCATTGGACTAGGAAAGGGTTTATGTGTCTGGCTATTCCAGTGCCCTCTGACATCAGGGCTGAGCATAGCTCACACTTGTGGGAATACATTTAAATAGTTCAGCAGTTCAGAGTTTTCAAAAGTTGTGAAGCAAAAACAGACTTGCAGCAGAGACCAGCTAAAAATTCTAACCAAGACCTGATGGAAAGTCCATTCATTCATTCGTTCATTCAAGACATACACACAGAGTGCCTATTACATGCCACTCACCGTTCTAAGCCTAGAGATATAGCGATGAGCAAAACCAATTCTCAACCCTCATGAGCCTTCATTCTAGGGGTGTTCATAGAAGCACACTAAAAATTTATGTGATGTAAGAGTGACAAATGCTGGGACACAAATAGAGCTGTGAGGGGATAGCGACAAGGATGCTGTTTTAGATGGGGTAGGCTCTCATGTGGTGATGTTTGAACAGGACTTGTTGGGATTGACATGAAGGAGAATGCCATGTGGTTATATAGTGGAAAGAGTACCTGGCTGAGGCCACAGCAAGTGCAAAGACCCTGAAGCAGGATGACATTTGACCACTTGAGCAGGAGTACAGGGAGCAGGGGAATGGTGGGTAGGAGGGAAAATCAGAGAAATCTGACGTGCGTCAGATCATATGGGTCAATAGCAATCTTTCCAGTCTTTGAGGCCCTACTAGGCTTGGGTCACTACTATATTTTAATCATCATAAAACCCCTTGAAGTAGGTCTGATTACTTCCTTTTAACATTGCCTAAATCCACCCCAATGAATGGCAGAGGTCTCCTGAGATTCTAGAGCATCAAAGTTGATCAAGGGTGGTGGTCTGTCCCAGCTTGTTGCTGACCAGCCCTCTCTCCATCTATCAGAACACGTTCCTAGAACAGAAAAATCTATCTTTAAATGCAGTGAGATATTTATTTACAAGCTTCATTATTTTAAAATACTCACCTTAACCTTTTCTTATACTTAGGCAAGGTCTGATACCAAATGGGTGTTGTCTGCACCTAGGCCTTAAAAAGCATCAAGAAGGAAGATCACTGTAGTAGCTTTGGCAAGAGATAATTTTGTCTTAGATCCGACGGATCTAAGACAAAATTATCTCTTGCCAAAGCTACTACAGTGATCTTCCTTCTTTCAAAAAGTGGTAAAAAGAACTTGGAGCACAGCTGTACCAAGAAAAATGAATGGGAATTTAGCCATACATCAATAGCCCATGAGCTCTGGATTCCATTTTATAAATGAGAACTGTCTTTACTTGTTTGGTCTATAACTCTGAGTTTCTGTGAAGACATGCGAATATTAAGTTAGTTACTGGAGAGTTCTGGGATTGTTTCCCAAATGAAATGAAGTCATAAATAATTCTAAAGATGTTTTATAATAAAAGTAGAATGAAAAGACTGAAAAATATGCAACAAAAACTTTCTGGTCTATATTAAGAAGGAAACATAATATAAATAGAACTTAATTTCCTACATTTTCATTATCTTCAGTGAAAAGTGAGAACATGAATAAGAATATGTCTTCATTTTAGCTACAGATGGGCCTATAAGTAGGACATGGTAAAATCAGTTTAACATGAGGGTAATTCAATCTATCCAAAAGAACCAACTTTTCTTTTTCAGGGCATTCCAAGACTCCTACTGAGTCTTGTTCTGAATAGAAAGTAATGGAAGTTCATTTTCTAAATCTGTTGTAGGCCATTGCTGCAGCTTCCCAGTAGAAAGCTATTGTTTGATTAATTCCATCATAATTTATCATTTTATTGCCACCTTTTATAACCTAGAGCTAATCTGATTGTGCTAATGTCCCGGGATAAGTAGGAAAGTTTTCTGTTCCTTACTAGTTAGATTAGATTAGTTTGCTAGGACTGCCATAACAAGGTACCACAGACTGGGTGGCTTAAACAACAGAAATTTATTGTCTCACAGTTCTGGATGCCGGAAGTCTGAGAACAAGGTGTTGGCCAGGTTGGTTCCCTCTGAGGGCTGCAAGGGAGAATCCTTTCCATGCCTCTCTCCAAGCTTTTAGTCATTTGCTGGCAATTCTTTGTCTTGTAGAGGCATCACCCCCATCTCTGCCTTCATCTTCACATGGCATTCTCCCTGTGTGTGTGTCTGTCTCTGTCTCCAAATTTCCCCTTTTTATAAGGGCACAGCCATACTGGGTTTGAGTTCACCCTAATGACTTCCTCTTACCTTGATCATCTGCAAAGACCCTATTTCCAAACAAGGCCATATTCATGGGCACTATAAGTTAGGACGTCAACATCTTTTGGAAGAGGACACAATTGAGCCCATAACACTGGCATGCAAGAGAGTTAAATAAAAAACTCTTTCCCTTTGTAGGATCCTCTCGGATATCCTTAAGGATTACACCTAAGAACAAGAGGATCCTTGCAGTAAAAAAATCATCTCTTCTTTATGTAGGCATTGCATTGCCAGCCTGAGCCCTCTTTCATATGTGTGTGTGTGCGGTTTTGCTTCATTTCTGGCCGGTGCACCCTATCTAAGAACTATCCCTTTGCTAACAGGGCAAACCTGGAAATTAGCTATGCCAAAGGACTTCAGAAACTGGCAAACAAGCTGAGCAAAGCGTTAGAGAGCACAAAGAAAAAGTAAGTATATGGAAAAAATCACTCTTCAAAATAATAAAAAGTGACATATGTTCAATTCTAGCTTCCTCTTATAAATGTGGCAGGGACATAATGTCAAGCATGGCTTCCAGTTCTTGGGCACTTACTATGTGCCAGGCACTGTGCTAAATGCTTTTATAGATACCCTCATTTAATCCTCACAGCAACCCTTGGGAAGTCTTATTATTGTCCCTATTTATAGAAAAGGACTTGAGGCTTGGAGAGTTTAAGAAACTTGCCCAAATCACACAGATAATGAGTTGCAGAGCTGGATTCATCCTGGGTCTTTATAACTCTTAAGGCCACTGTCACAATAGTCTCTGGTGATGATATTTAACTTGGGAAGCAGTGTTGTTAAGTCGGAAGGTCTTGGAGTCAGGTAGTGTGAATCCCACTTGATCTCAACTCTGTGACCTTTGACAAGTAATCTGGCCTCTCTGTGCCTTGATTTCTTCCTCTGTTGGATGGAGTAACAATAGGTGCTCCACTGTGTGTGTGTGTGTGTGTGTGTGTGTATAGGGGGTGTGTGTTAAATGAGGTAATGTATATAAAGAGATTATCACATTGGGTGCTGAAAAAAATATTGGTTCACATTTTCTTCAGTACATTGCAGGACTAAGAATGAAGTCAATTCCTTCTTTTGGGGAAGAGAAGAAAGGTATTGGTATTCTAAAAATGGTCCGTTAGTGACAATTTGCTATGAAGATTCTTGACTAATGCTGGCAGATGTCACCCTAAACTGGCAGTGCCGTTGCAAAGGTGGCTTTTGATGGTGAAGGAGAGAGGGAAAGAAAAAAAGGAAGCCTTCTGGAGCACAGATTGCTACTCCTCCTCAGGCATCTTCTGTAAGAGCAAATAATGGCTTTGAAATTGCTCTGACTGAGCTTGATTTTTAGGAAAGCATTTTAGTAGACTACAAAGGAGCCAGTATAGCGCAATGGTTGAGTATAGATAGATGTTATTTAGACGACCCAGGTTTAAATTCTAGCTCTACCATTTACCAGCTGGGTGAATTAGGGCAATTTGTTTTATCTCTCAGTGTGTATTTATTTACTTATTTATTTATTGGTGAGGAAGATCAGCCCTGAGCTAACATCCATGCTAATCCTCCTCTTTTTTTTTTTGCTGAGGAAGACCGGCTCTGAGCTAACATCTATTGCCAATCTTCCTCCATTTTTTCCCCAAAGCCCCAGTAGATAGCTATATGTCATAGTTGCACATTCTTCTCTTCTAGTTGCTGTATGTGGGACGCGGCCTTAGCATGGCTGGACAAGCGGTGCTTCGGTGCGCGCCCCAGATCCGAACCCGGGCCGCCAGTAACGGAGCGCGTGGACTTAACCGCTAAGCCATGGGGCAGGCCCACAGTGTGTATTTAAAATGGCAATAAAACCTATCTCATGTAATTGCTGTGAAGATTAAATGAGATAACATGAGAAGAGTCTTTAGTACTTGGCATGGAGGAAAACCTCTGCAAGCGTTCATTAGGATTTTGACTCTAATTACCTCCTAAAGAAGGAAAGTTGTAGGGGTGTGTGTTATTGTGTTGCAACCCTAACATCCAGCATGGTACTCCCAAAGAGTTGGCATGTCCAGAATGTTTGGTTAACCAGGATTAGTACAACAATATTTAATAATAAACATTAACTGAACTTTTATCTATACCAAAATCTGTGTTAGGTACTTCTATAGATAACCCAAATTATTTCTATTTTAAGAGACCAATTAAGTGAGGGTCAGAGAAATCAAGTGATCCTTCCAAGGTCACACAGGAAGCAAAAAGGAGCATGTGGATGCAGACACAGACCCCTCTGAGGCCAACGCCCTCAGCTTCCTGCTCTGTTGCCCAGCTCCTCTGAGGGGCAAATGTCAGACTCTTTCCCAAAAGTGTGACTGGCCTCCTTTTTTAAAAAATCAACTCTATTGAGGTTTAAGTTACACACAATAATAAGCACCCATTTTAAGCATATGGTTTGGTTGATTTTGATGCGTGTATACACCATGTAGCCACCACCAAAATCAAAACAGACATTTTCATCACACCAAAAGATTCCTTACGCTTGTTGGCAATCCTTCTCCCACCCAGTCCCAAGCAACCACTGATCTGCTTCCTTTCAATATAGATTAGTTTTGTCTTTTCTGGAATTTCCTATAACTGGAAACATACAGTAGATACTCTCTTGTGCCTGGTTTTCTGCCTGGCTTTGGATACATCGAAAATCTGGCACCCTTCGGTCTAGTTCTCCTGTTCTCTGATTGCAGGGTGCAATCTAAGTCATTTGGAGGCAAGACCTTGGCAGCATCCTGATTTCAGCAGGGGCATCGGTCTGTCCCCTCCTCCTCCATCAAAGTCTCCACAGGCCTCTGTCTCTGAGGTTTCCTGATGCAACTGGGCTTATTGTTCTGACTGTTGAAGAAAGTTCTGACTAGATGGGCCACTGTGAGCTATGCCTCTTCGGTGGGAGAAAATAGCATTATACTTCCTAATCCTCACTCTGTGCTTCTAGGGACAGGGCAGGGCTGTCCTTTTGTTAACTTGAGATACTGTTGTCCTAAAAGCCAGCAGAGAACAGGAGCTAGACCCTAACCTCAAGAGCAGCGTACAGGCCTTGCGTCCTCCCTCACGTCACTTCTCTGAGCCTCGGTTTATTCATCTGCAAAATGAGGAGCCTGAAAAGATTGTCTTTAAGGGCCTTCTACCTCTAGCATGTTATCTCCTACCTCTTCTAAATGCCTTCCCACTCTTGGCTACTTTATTTTCTGGTTTTCTACAGACATGAAGTGGAAAATGAAAATCGAAATGAAAAATGACTGAAAAAAAAGCAGTGTACATAATGACTACGGTGCCAATAAATATGTTGGCAGAATTTAATCCCATGGAGAAATTGAAATAAGATTAGGGATACGAATGCAATCGCTGAATGCATTGAATCAGACGTGCTGCTTTATTTCTCAGACGTAACTGGGAAAATGACACCCACTTTTGTGCCCCCCTGTTTTTGCCTCCAGCTGCCTCGTCAGTGCCTGGGCCTGGGTCTCGGAGGGCATGAAATCTGCTGCGGACCTGCATCAGTGAGTGCTCCCACCCCAGCCTGCTTCAACCCTAAAGGGAGTCGTAAATATTTAAAGTGGGTGTGCTACAGACACGCCACTTGGAACTTGCACTGAGTAGACACACCGTAATTTTATTTCCCCAGAAAATAATTTGGAAAGTAGATATAAATCCTAATTCTATGCTTGTGGGTCTTTTATATTCTATTTCCAGAAAACTTGGCAAAGCAATTGAGTTGGAAGCGATAAAACCAACTCATCAAATCCTGAGTGTACACGAGAAGAAGAGAAAATCAGTGAGTCAAAATTTTCTTTTCTCCTCTGTTTAAGCAAGATTTCTGTCTCTGGCTCAAGAAATAGAAGGTGATCTAAAAGTGATAGTAGGTTTCAGAAATTCACCATAAAAATAAACACAAACCCAAAGATGTTGTATGTACAAGGATGTTTGTTAAAGCATTGCTTATAATAGTGAAAAAGTGGAAACTTCATCATCATTCAAAAATAAATTATGATCAATTCAAGCAATGGAATATTTAAATGAAAAAGCAGGATGAGAAAATCTAAGAAGATGATCTCAATTTTATAAAATAAATGTGTGTATATATGCATAGGAAAAAACCTGACAGAACCTCCCCAGAATGTTAATAAGAATTATCTCTACACGGAGGAATTAGAGGTTATTTTTATTTCATTTTTTGTACTTCCATTGTATTTCAATCAATAGATATTCTTTTTGTAAACACAATTTTTTATTTTTTTATTTTATTTTATTTTTTTTTTAATTTTTTGTTTATTGCAGTAACATTGGTTTATAACATTGTAAAAATTTCAGGTGTACATCATTGTACTTCTATTTCTGCATGGACTACATCATGTTCACCACCAAAATACTAATTACAACCCATCACCACACACATGTACCGAATTATCCCTTTCACCCTCCTCCCTCCCCCCTTCCCCTCTAGTAACCACCAATCCAATCTCTGTCCCTATGTGTTTGTTTATTGTTGTTATTATCTACTACTTAATGAAGGAAATCATACGGTATTTGACCTTCTCCCTCTGACTTATTTCACTTTGCATTATACCCTCAATGTCCATCCATGTTGTCACAAATGGCTGGATTTCATCGTTTCTTATGGCTGAGTAGTATTCCATTGTGTATATATACCACAGCTTTTTTATCCATTCGTCCCTTGATGGGCACTTAGGTTGCTTCCAAGTCTTGGCTATCGTGAATAAGGCTGCAATGAACACAGGGGTGCATGTACCTTTGCAAATTGGTGTTTTCAAGTTCTTTGGATAAATACCCAACAGTGGAATAGCTGGATCATATGGTAGTTCTATCGTTGATTTTTTGAGGAATCTCCATACTGTTTTCCACAGTGGCTGCACCAGTTTGCACTCCCACCAGCAGTGTATGAGAGTTCCCTTCTCTCCACAACCTCTCCAACACATGTTGTTTCCTGTCTTGTTAATTATAGCCATTCTGACGGGCGTGAGGTGATATCTCATTGTAGTTTTGATTTGCATTTCCCTGATAGTTAGTGATTTTGAACATCTTTTCATGTGTCTGTTGGCCATCTGTATATCTTCTTTGGAGAAATGTCTGTTCAGGTCTTTTGCCCATTTTTTAATTGGGTTGGTAGTTTTTTTGTTGTTGAGATGCATGAGTTCTTTATATATTTTGGAGATTAAGCCCTTATCAGATGTATGGTTTGCAAATATCTTCTCCCAATTGTTAGGTTGTCTTTTCGTTTTGTTGATGGTTTCCTTTGCTGTGCAGAAGCTTTTTAGTTTGATGTAGTCCCATTTGTTTATTTTTTCTATTGTTTCTCTTGCCCGGTCAGATGTGGTGTTTGAAAAGATGTTGCTAAGACTGATGTCGAAGAGCGTACTGCCTTGTAAACACAATTTTTTAAAAGAAAGCTTTTCTATGCTTATCAGTTTGGGATTATGTAAAGGCAGTAATAGGTGTAATCCTCAAATAGCCTTAAAATTGAAAAAAAAATAACTGAACAGTTCTTTTCAGGGGCACCTGGTCCTCTTGTATGGCACATCCTCTAGTCTTTCTGCCTACCTTTTCTTCCAGAACAGTTTCATTTGTGCTCATTTTTCTTTTTACTTGTGTCATATAGTCATTAAGCACGTTAAAATATATTTAAAGACAACATAAAGGGGTGTTTCGTAAGTGCTGCTTAGCTCTGATGGGAGTCATGGTCACTATTTGAAGGCTGGGTGCAGGGAAGAAGTTCCTAAGCAGTAATAGGCGGTCCTTGTGAAGGGAAGGTGCAGTGGCTAAGGGGAGTTTCAAGTGACCACAGCCAGACAAAGCAGGTCCTAAAAGTGGTAAGTCAGTAGGAGGAGGGGATCTGTAAAAGCCCTGATGGAGGAGAAATGATACAAAAAATTTTTTTATTCAAATGCATTAAACTGAGTCAAGAAATGGAACTGATGTTTGTATGGACATGCATGTTTTTTTTTTACCAGAATGGATGTTCTACTTAGGGCTAGTGTGATGGGGGAAATTTACAGTAATTACTAGAAAGCAATATTATCTTCTCCCTTTGCAAACCAACTTAATAAAAACCAAACACTGGTCTATATTTCGTTAACTACAAAATATTTTTCATACCACTAGTAATATGATAATTACTAGCGTTTCCTTAGTACTTAACCATAAATTACACACAGTGCTATGATCGTTGTCATAGCGCTTCAGGTAATTGATGTCATGATCTCCCCCACAATACTCTTCCAGTCCATAATCTTGTTTTCAGCTTTGCCCCTCCCTGCTGCCCCCTCACCACCGCAGTCCACTCTCTCACAAAAGATAAAAGACTAAAATTTTTTTAAAAAATTGAACTTGTTCCACATTTCAGACACATACATATACTAGAGTCACACACACAGCTAGAGTCAAAAGTGGCATAGTGCATAAAATCATTTTCACTGTATTTGTGACAATAAACTTCCAAATTTAGTCAATCGGAAAAATAAAAATGCAGGGTTGATAGATCTCAAGGTAGTTGAATGATGGCTGATCTGTGGTCCAGGAAAAACGTTCTGCTGTAACTTAAGTCTGATCGCCTTGGAGGGTTGCCTACATCCATTTTTATCATTATTATTACTGTCCCTTTGACTGTTTAAAAGCCAGAAAAAAAGTAAATTATGATAAAGAATTTAATCTCTTTGAAATTAAGCAATATTCACTTCAGGGGCGATGAGACACTTAGTAAAAATAGCACTGCTAGGACTGTTGCTGATTTATGGTGTTCAAGTTTGGTGATACCAAATTATGTAAGATTCTCTTTCACACAGACTGTACACATTTATGTTGTTTTTACACAGTTATATACTAGAAATAAATATTTTGCAAATGCATTCGGGCTAAATCCTGTCAAGAGATTCTTGACATGGGGAAAATATAGTTTGGCTACTTTTCTCAGAAAATATGTCCACTGTAAGATTTTGAAATTCCTATAAATTGTGACAGTGATTGTGGCAGAATTAATAAATCTGTATCATGACTCAATAAGAAGACAGCAAAAAATTTTTTTTTCCTTTTTTCTCTTCTATAGCTTGATAATGAAATTGAAAAGACAGCAAATCTTGTCATTAGCAACTGGAATCAACAAATTAAGGCAAGTAAACACAAACATCGTTTGTGTAAACTCTGCTTTTAGGATTGAAGCTTTTTGCTTCTGCACAAATATGGTGCTGTGTTGTAGTGTTGGTATTGCTAAGAGCAGACTAAAGAGAAAAATGTTTCCTCACCTGAGTTATTATATAGATATATCTTTCAACTAAACTAATAGAAGAGCAGAGCTCTAAATATGATTATTATTTATAGCAAACACTTAGCATTTATTGTGTGCCAGATGGTATATATTTAATCATCACAGCAACCTATGTGGTATGTGATCTTGCATTGTCCCATTTTACAGATGGGTGGGGAAACTGAGACACAGAGAGGAAAATGATTCGCCTAAGGTTACAAAGCTGGTTAATGGTTAAACCAACAATTGTTACAACTCTTTGGGCTCCAGGGTCACTGCTCTTAACCGTTATACTACACTGACTGCCTCTCAGTACAATTTGTAACTTAGGGCAAGTGACAAATTCTATCTTCGTTTTGGTCTTATCATTTGCAGAGGAGTGTTCGTGATCTCTGTCTCACTAATGAGAGGAACACTGTGAGGGGTGGGTGGCAATATGTAAAGGGAAGTATATATTGATTCCACAAGTCTGTACGGTCCACTTCTTGTGCTCTACTCTGTGCTAAGACATAGTTCTTTTGTTTTCAAGTAATTTAAAATTTAGTTGGCTAGATAACGTATGGGCAGGAAATAATGAATGAATTCTAAGGAGAGAAATTACGATCTGGTGTGAGAAGCTAGGGCATATTATTACAGGTCCTTAAGCAGAAAGAAGAACAGATAGAACCCATATATACAGAAGATTATTCTAGAACAATATAGTTTAGGAAGAATTCATTTCAAGCAGAAAGGACTAGAAGCCAGTGGTGACGGAATATGCTAAGAAAACCCAATGATCCCCTTTGAGAGGACTTGTGCTCCAAAGGCTGAAATTCTCCTTTCTTATCTCCAAAGTGTTAGTCCCAAAGAGAACTTTCCCAAATAGACAGCCACTAATGCCAAATAACCAGATATGCCCTCAGAAACAGGCAGCGCCATCTAAGCCGTCAGTGTTGCCTTTGAAGCTTCTGCTGAAACCGAGGACTTCATAAGACCAAGGACATTAAAGAGAAATGTTCGAGATAAATGAATTTCTGTACCCATAATAGTAGTACTAATAAAAGGATGCTCACCAGAATCACCTTTACAATAAGTATTAAAAAGTCCCAGAAACAGTATCCAGTCATTTGTTTTTAGTTTTGCTCTTGATTTTATGAACTTTCTTAAACAGGATTTGTTTTTAAAAATCCATTCTCTAAATACTCAGCTTTCACAGAAAATTCAATATAATGGACCAAAGAGAGAAACCATGCTCAGCAGCTGCAATTGCTTTCAAGAACAAAAAGCATCTTTTATTATTTCTCAGTTTCCACCAAGTAATTATTCTAAATAAAACGTGTTTATTTTTTATGAAGAATGACAGAGAAATTAGAGAACATAAAATTCTTGAGCTATAATAATTCTCTTCCCAGTTACAATTCAAGGGATTCAGCATGTCAGTAATGAAGTACAGTCTATTTTGAAGACACAAATGAAAAGCCTCAAAGGATCAAATGCTCTGGCCTCACGCTCTTCTTTATCAGTGGGCATATGACTAACTGGAGGTGGAGGAAGAGGTTCTGTCAGCGTCTTGTTCCTTGAATTCCCTTTTGAGGAGGCTTCATATGTTTAGAGACATTCAGAAGGCTTTGCCTCTGATTCCCAAGGAAAGGGAGACCTGACCTTTCCCTTCATTATCTGGTTTTACAGTCATTGGAACCTTGATGTGAAAAACCAAGCAGTCTTTCAATCAACCCAATTCCTGAACAGGCTGAATCCAACTCAAATCAAATTCTGTCTCTTTATTTTATCTCTAGAGCACCATCTTCTGCCAAGTTGGAACTGTGTAGAATAGGAAACGATCCCCTGAATTATAACCTACTCCGAGATCTGAGGTATCAATAGGGTTGAACTATTCTTCTTTCCCAATTCCCACCTACCCTGCCCACCGCAAATGCAAAACATTTCACAAGATGCCAGGCAAATGCCCAGCTCTTAAGCCTGGGCATCAGGGAACAAAATTTCCCCTTTGCTATAAGTTTTAAGAGAGCATCTTAACCTCAGTTGTGGCCCAGGTTGATTTAAAAGAATGAGGCAGGCAGTCTTCCATGATTGTTGTGATATTTTTTGTGGTAAAGCCATTTCCTTCCATTATGCCATCTAGAACAATGTTTTGGAAGCTTGCAGGCCTCAGTGATTTAACAAAATGTATAACCTTCTTTTTTTTTTTTTTTTTTTGTGAGGAAGATCAGCCCTGCGCTAACATCCATGCCAATCCTCCTCTTTTTGCTGAGGAAGACCGGCTCTGAGCTAATATCTATTGCCAATCCTCCTCCTCCTTTTTTCCCCCAAAGCCCCAGTAGATAGTTGTATGTCATAGTTGCACATCTTTCTAGTTGCTGTATGTGGGACGCGGCCTCAGCATGGCCAGAGAAGCGGTGCGTCGGTGCACACCCAGGATCCGAACCTAGGCCGCCAGCAGAGGAGTGCGCGCACTTAACTGCTAAGCCACGGGGCTGGCCCTGTATAACCTTCTTGAGTGTACTCAATATAATGAAAAAATGTACAGTGGTTCTCAGGGCAAAATGCTAGCCACTCTGCTATTTTAGGGAGATTTTGAGGTGAGGGCAGAAATGAAGAACTAAAAATATACAATCATTCAAGCTAGCACATGAGCATGACTTGTTCCAGAACAGAAGACTTTCTCTTGATATCAATTTCTGCTCCTTTGTTACTTTTTTTGTATGTTTTTCACTCTAGGCCAAGAAGAAATTAATGGTGAGTACCAAGAAGCACGAAGCCCTTTTCCATCTTGTAGAAAGCTCCAAGCAAACCGTAACGGAAAAGGAGAAGCAGAAGGTAACCTGTCACGGTCAGCTGGGTGCACGTGGCCTGGAGACAGACAGGCTTCCTGCCCTTAGCTATGAACACAAGAGAGCTGGCTGATTCCCCGCTCTGTGTGGGCTCTCTGCAGAGCTGTAGTGTGACAGAGTATGAGAAGAGATTCTAAATCATTCCTGGTCCACATATATTTTTAACCCGTATTACTGACAGATGATAAATTAGACCAATAGTGTCCAAATTTTTTGATAGGGAACCCTATTAAACATGTCTCAGCTCACACCCCAAATAAGTAAAAAATTCATATGCTTATATGATATATAATATCCTTTACCCATGTTGTATATTACATATAGTACTTTATATGTTATGCTAATATGTTATAAACATTATAAAACATAAAAAAGTAGAAATGTTTAAAGGAGGAGATAAAATGAAATAATATTTTAAATGACTAGCTAATCATGATGTCTTCAAATAATCATTAAATGACATTTCCAGACAAAATACACATTTGGGGCAAAGTTCAGCCTTAACCATAGTAAATATAAATTCATATTTCTAATAGCCCTCTTGATAATTTTAAATTTTTTGGTCAACTTCTTGTCAGATCCTACTAGATCATCTCAGTTTCTGCCTTTTCATGAGGGTGAGGTTCAAGAGCAGGAGAAAGCATCAGCTCCAATGTTTTCTTGTGGCTTCCTTGTGCTTACATTGTTAGCGTCAATGTTGATCCACAGCTTCTGAGCATAAACCTTTTAAAGATGTTTGTTAATTTTATGTGTATTAACCTAATAAAGCTAGAAAATAAGTCTGTAAATCCACATGACCCAGATACATGCTGATGGCCGTTGTCCCAGGATGCTGAAAGCGAAGACATTTATGAGGACCCACGTCAGCTTCTCATGTTGTAAAATTCCCACTCTTCCTGCAGAACACTTCAGAATCCGCAACTGTCCATGTGTGGGCACCAATGTCAATTCATATATCAAATAAGAGCAAGCTTGATAACTGTTTTTAGACAAAAAGGAACACAAATAATATTGGAGTGCAGGCAGAAAATATTATCTTGCACACTTCTTGTGCTATGTGCCCCAGATTGGAAACCTCTGAAATAGTCAATATCTTCCCCAAAAGGTGGAGTCCCCCTAAGGAAATTCAGGCAGCACCACTGCAACTCAAAACATTCTTAAAAGAAAAAGAAAATTGTCGTTGCACGTAATGCTATCATTTCACCTGAAGAAACTATTAGTCAAATAACTTAAATTCATTGTTAGCAAGACTTTACAAGATTCTTATTTTTTCACATGTCAATCTTCACAGTTTGAAATGATCATAACAAGTATTGAATAATGAGACAGCTTTCAAGGAGGTGAAACCACAGTGAGTTAAAACGCTAAGTAAGCCCCAGGACCTGTCATAGGCATACGGAGCCCTCATTAGAAGCTATTCTTTGTTGATGTCAAGCAATAACAAAGAAAAAAGCAGAGGCAGCTAAGTGGTGAATTTCCTCTTGCTTCCCTCATTAGCAGCTTCCTGGGAGGTTGAAGTCCAGGGTCATCCCCTGCCCTGCTCCAGCTGATCCTATAACGATAGCCCTTGGCTATCTTTACATCACAGACCCCTACCATCATCATTGTTTTACTGGTAGGTTTTTTTTTTTCAGTCTTAAAGCTAAACACCTAAGGCAGCATTCACTTTTGCATCTCACATAGAGGTACCCATGATCTCCAACCTGAGCTGAGCAGGTTCTGTGCTGCTCAGCAATTCTTCCTGTTTTCCTGCTCAGCTGTCCTTGTTCTCACCAGAAGCTGAGGTAAATCTCCATTTTTCTCACACCTCCATCCTCACCACCCACTCTCAGCAGGCTATCTTGCCTCCTACCTCACAGAGTAAACAGAAGTCAGCACAGCCACCTGCCTGCTAAAGTCCTATGTTCAATGAGACAAGGCAATTCTTCATCATGTCCTCTGATTCCCATCCCATCCTGTTTCTCAGAGACCCTTCTCTTCGTTAGTCCCCTCTCTCCTGTATCTGGGACATCTCCTTCTCTAAGAGGTGCTTCTCATCAGCCTTCTCAACGCCCCACTATCTTGGGAGGGTAGGGAGAGTCAGGGAGACACCTTTCCATGGCCCTATTCCTATACCTCTCCAGATATTATCTCTCCTTCTTTTTACAGTAAGATTTATTGAAAGGGTTGTCTGAGCTCTGTCTCCACTTCCTCATCTCTTGTTCACTCCTCAAATCATCCCAATGAGGCCTTCTCCATCATTCTACTAAGTGTGTTCTTGCCATCGAAAACAATGTCGTCCTTGTTGCTAAAGCCAACGGATACTTTCCAGTTCTTACCTTATCTAACTTCTTGGAAGCAATAAACTGTTGACTTCCCCTTATAGAAACATCCTCTTCTTTTAATTCTCTTCTTCAGCAATATCTTACTCTTTTGGTTTTCCTTTCTGGCCATGTTTTCTTAGACTCCTTTGTGGACTGCCCTTTTTCTGCCTGGCCTTATATATTGCTGTTTCTGATAATTTCTCTCTGGGGTCTCATTCTTTTTATTCAGCATTGTATCTCCAGTGTCCAACACAGTACTCTCAATATCAGGTACTCAATAAATATACTCTCAAGGCTTCAACTACCATATCTATGCCGACAGAACTCGAAGTTATATCTCCAGCCCAAACCAGTCTCTAAACTACTTTCTGGCACCTCAAACTCAATATTCAAAATCAAAACCATCACTTCCCTCCAACAAAAATATACTTTATTTCTGTGTTTTCTATATGTTTGAATATTACCACCCACCATATCCTTCTGATTCTAACTAACTCCCAAATCAAGTACTTCTTGAATTTATCTACTTAGATCTATCTCCACTGCCACTGCTCTCTCCCAGGCCACCATCATCATTGCTTGGATTACTCTAACTGACGAATGGGTCTCTTGGCTTTCAGGGTTGCCTCCTCCTGTCTATTTGCCATATACAAACCAAGCTGATTTTCTAAAACTTGAATCTGAGGATATCATTTTCTTTCTTTTCTTTTTCTTTTTTGGAGGAAGATCGGCCCCAAGCTAACATCTGCCAATCCTCCTCTTTTTGCAGAGGAACATTGGCCCTGGGCTAACATCCATACCCATCTTCCTCTACTTTATATGGGACACAGCCACAGCATGGCTTGACAAGCGGTGCATTGGTGTGCGCCCGGGATCCGAACTGGTGAACCCCAGGCCGCTGCAGCAGAGCACGTGCACTTAACCGCTTGTGCCACCGGGCCGGCCCTCATTTTCTTTTTAAAAGCCTTCAAAAGCTTCCATGACCTCAGAATAAAGCACAAACTCCTTTACATGGCCCATACTCAACTCTGACTCCCTGACTTGACCCTTGCCTGTTTTTCAGCATCATCTCTTACTATTCTCTCTCTCAAATTGTGTGCTCCAACCTCACCCAAAGATTTTCATTAACATGCCATGCTATTTTGCTTCACCAATTCCTACTTCATTTTAGTTTTGTTCCTACAGGGATCATTTCTGTGAGCACCTACTATGTTCCAAGTCTCAGCTTAAATGTCATTTTAATTCCAAGGTTAGTTTAGATGCCTGTCGTGGTAAATACTTATATCACCCTGGGATCTGTTACACAGGATAGTAATGGCCTGTGTGGGTCCCTGACTAAAAAGGGAGCCTGTCTTGCTCCCTTTTCTATTCCCAGAGTCTTGTACATGACACATTGTGTCACTCAATAAATGTTTTATGAATGAATGAATGCATGAGATATTTGTTCCAAGAGAAAGAAAAGAGGAAAGAAAATTCAATCTTTGACAAATTTTAGTGAAGTTTTCTGAGAAGTTCATTAAATGAGAATATAAGAGTCTACGTTCTTTTTTTTGTATCTATTTGGGGCTATTTGCTGTAAATTTGCTGAGCAGAAACTTTTAGTCAATAGTTGTATAGTGCAGGCTGATGAATGTGAGTGGTTTTCTCAAAAGTGACTCTGTTCTCATCGCTGGGGGGTGTAAGCATTGTCAGTAAGAATCTAAGGACAATGATTTAGCAAAGTATAGCCATGGCACACTTTCAGCTCTTTCACTATATTATTGTCAGGTTAAAATTCACAAGCTCATGTTTCTATAGATAAATGTGGTTCATTACACTTGATATACAAAACCAAATGTGTCCTGTGTAGGTCATACATCAGAGCCGAGGGACAGTTGAATGGCTAGCATATCAATTGGAATAATAGAGTGAGTGGTGTTAATATTTAGCATTTTGGATGAATGTTCTTCATTACTGAAACTTTAGTCAAAATGTCCTTAAACATAAAGAGGATCATTCTTAAAAGCTTTTGTCTCTGTCCTTGAAACTCCTAAACTGCTTAAGTCAGAGGGATCCTCGGTGTTCATTAAACTGTGGTTTGAGGACCATTTGCATCAGAATCATCTGAGGAGGTAGTGAAAAATCAGATTTTCCAGTCCTACTACAGAACTTCTGACTCAGTATTGCTACTTGTGGGACCCTAAAAATCTGCAATTTTATAAGCACCCCAGGTTGTTTCTAGGCATACTAAAGTTTGAGAATCATTCATTTAATCCAACTTCCTCCTTTCTCAGAGACATGAAATTACTTCTCTGAGCATTTTCCGATCAATTTCAGCTACCCTGGTCCAGAGAGTTTTGTATTACTTTGATTTTCCAGAAGATTTCACAGTCAGAATGGCCAATGTCGGTGATTGGCAAGAGGGGGCTCTTTGGAAGGAGCAGGTCATTGGCGAGCAGAATGAAAGGAGAGCACCTGTCAAGCTTCCCACAATTTGCAGTGGACATTGGCGTGTGTCTCAGGCTCCTCATTAGTAACGATCATACTAATCTTTGGGTGCTACCCCAGGTGTCAAGCAGACTGCCACGTGCTGTCCCTACATCACCTGCTTGAATCCTGGAAGCAACCCAGCGAGGTAGGAGCATCACTCTCCGCCTCACAGAGATGAAAAAACTGTGGCTCATGAAGGTGAAATAACTCACCTGCAGTCAGAACCAGGACTCTAATCCTGAAGTCTGATTCCAAAGCTGTACTGCAGAGTTTATGTGGTGAACGTGGAGTGAGGTCGCTGGACAGGAGGGTAGCCAGACCTAATCCTAGTTCTAAAGATTAAATGATCACACAAGACTTTATCTGTCCTGGTAAGAAATGCAGGGGCCTGAAGGATTTGCCAAATAAGACAACAGGAACCACTGATAGAGTACAGTCTTGAGTTGGAGATTTTTGATCTGTGTTTGCTTCTCCTCACCTGTCGTTTGGCCTCCTCCTTGATTTGATGAACATGGGCACATCACGTCTTATTTAAGGACCTCAATTTCCTCTTGTGAAAAATGGAAGGAATCATGTTGAAAGGCCCTTAGGTTTCCTTTCAGCTGTGATAACCTTTTTTTCCTCAGGAACATCTTTGGTTTTGTCATCTATAGTCACTTTTTATGACTTTAGCTGGGAGATGAGAACTATATCACTGGGCTGCATATGATTCCTTATGTGGAATTACAGAGGGCTTTCACAAATGTGTTAATCAATATGTGACGCTGATGTTTTGCTTTAGCTCCTCAATAAACTGAAAAAATCGACTGAGAAGTTGACAAAAGAAGATGAAAATTACTACGAAAAAAACATGGCCAGCTGTTCTACCAGACTGAAATGGGAGAACACACTAGAAAGCTGCTACCAGGTAAGTTAGGCATTCACGTTTTGTTCTTCTTCCGTGGAGCTTTGTGTGGCCTTGAAAAGGCAGGTCAGATCTGCAGTTACATGACTTGATGATCTCTGTCCTTAGCTATGACGCTCACTTCTATTGTGACTTTAGACAAACCACATTACTTCTTACTGTTTCAGTTTCTTCACGGATACAATTACCAGTGAATCTTTATTGAGTGTCATTGGCCAAAATTTCTGCTCCTAATTCTCACTGGGCACAATAGCACTCAGTTAACCTCACAAAGTGCTGTCAAAGTAAAGTGTAAGCTAAAGCTTAAGTGTTGGGTACTCAGAAATGAGTTTTAGGCCTGCGAGTTGATTCATACAGTAATCACTTATGGAATTCCTTTGTATGTCAGGCATTGTGTTGGGTGCTGGAGATATAGCAGTGAATAAAGTACCATCTCAACTCTTGAGACGTGCACAGTATAGTAGCAAAGAAGACATATAAAGAATTGCTAATCATCCCATACAAATAAGCAAAAGGTAGGAACAAGGAAATCACAAAAGGGGAAATCAAAATCACCAATAAATATGTGAAAAGATGCTCAATCATTTGGCAAAAATTAAAAATTGACGATATCAAGTGTTGCCAAGGATGTTGGGAAGCAAGAATTCTAGTATCCCTCTAGTGAGAATAATTTCAGTAATACTGAAATGTGCACGCACCCACAACACAGCAGTTCCCCTTTTAGGCATATATCCTGAAGAAAAATTTATGTCTGTATACCAAGGGGGATGCATAAGGACGTTTATTGCAGAATTGTTTATAATTGCATGGTGAGAAAAAATTGTACACAATCTTCATACCTATCAATAGAGGAATTACCCTTAAAATGTGCTCTAATTTAAAAAGTAGACTAATATCTAGCAATAAAAAATGAATTAAAACTATATTTAAATATGAATTAACCTCAAAAACATGTTAAAGAAACACTGTTTGTACAATCTATGTAAATTAAAACATTTAAAAAACTCACAGCCCAAACTATACTGAGTTATGTATGTGGGTTTGTAAACTTATACATATAGATTGGATCTCTGTTGGATGAGGGAAATGGAGCTCATAGTGGGAATTCAACAGGGCTGCCACATACGGCCACACAGCTTGTGGACAGCTCCTGGCAGAGCGGCGCAAAAACCCAGGCTCAAAAGTTACTTCAACTATGTCTGAATAGCTTAGCTGTCTTTTTTAAGTCAACATAAATATGACTGAATTAAATAATTTTCAATTCTGGATAGTACGATCATAAATTTTTTATTTTTTCCACGTTTTAAGTTAAAAAATAATGTTTAAAGCAAGGTACAATTGCAGAAAGAAGCAATCAGGATGCAATTTTATAAGCACTATAATGTGGGTATGAACAATAGGGGTAATATGTAACAAGTGCTGGGTATGTACTAAGTACATTCATGCATTTTATATATATATAATATATATATATATTATATATATACGTATATTTTGTGTGTGTGAGGAAGATCAGCCCTGAGCTAACATCTATTGTCAATCCTCCTCCTTTTTTTTTTTCCTCAAAGCCCCAGTAGATAGTTGTATGTCATAGCTGCACATCCTTCTAGTTGCTGTATGTGGGACGCAGCCTCAGCATGGCCGGAGAAGCGGTGCGCTGGTGCGTGCCTGGGATCCGAACTCGGGCTACCAGTAGCAGAGCGCACGCACTTAACTGCTAAGCCCAGGGGCCGGCCCCATGCGTTATATTTTGTATTCGTCACAATATTCTGAAGAGGTAATACTTTTATTCTCAATTCATAGTGAGGAAATTGAGGCTGAGAGAGACGAAGTAACTCGCCCAAGATGGTTTTGGTATTCACCCTAGGCAGTCTGATGCCACAGGCTTTACCTCTGTATTATGCTTCTGCCCTAACACGAGCTGGGCAAGGGAAGGCAGTGCGGTAAGCAGAAACTGAAGGGCTGTATTTAGTCTCTTGCTATTCCACTTTCAAGGTAAGACAGATGCAGAGGTAGGGAAGAAAGAGGAAATTAAAGGAGAAATGAAAACTTGGGTCAAAGAGAGGAAGAAATGAGAAGAAACCCTTCTTTAATTTATACCTTCAAGCATAGGGTCCTGGTATGCATCTTGCTGATGCAGAATAGGTTTTAGAGGAAGATGATGTGAAAAGGCCAAGGACTTAAATTCCAACTTTATCCACCTGAAACCTGACTCTCCAACCTGGCCTCTGATCTTGCCCTGCCCTCTAGAACTTCTCAACAAAGCTATGGCCTTTCCACAGAGGCCAACATCCTGGGACAGCCCTTTTGGGATATGGGAGAGAAATTGCTGCTCCATCTTCTAGGCTCCCTTCAAGGGCTATGAGAAAAATATTTAACCTCAGTGTCTCTATCCTTCTCACCCATCTATCTACATCACGCAATGGAGGGTAATTATGGTTCTTACCTAGTACGGCTGCCAGGATTCCTGGTGTAGCTGATATCTTGCTGGCCTTCAATATGTGTTGGATATTGCTATTGCTAACTATCCTTATTATCAGAGGCCCTTACTATATCTCTCCTTCCTTTTTTCTGTTCCTTTTCTCCTGTTAGGGTCCTCCTACGCCTTCAAGCAGTCCCAACTTTTACATTGAAGCATCATGGAAATTATCTTCTTTGCTTGTAAAGTCTTCCTGATGGTGACAAGATATAGATTTATTTACATTCCAAAAGACCTCCTTTCAACTCAAATATTAAAACATAAAAATATTTAAGACCCCAAGTGTTTTATTAGAATGCAAGTCACGTGGAGAATCTACTCAAAGTCAAAATTTCCATGTGGAAAAGGATTTCCTTTCACCCTTTTTGTATCCTGGTTTGTTGCTACCACCATGCTGGAGGCCACTGGTATTTCACTCCCTCTCCCTTTCAGTTCACACAGTTCCTCTTTCCCCACCTTCCTTAGAGCTCTCCTCTGCCCATTAGACTCGCTTGAGATTACTTCTGTCAAGTCATCCATGCCTCGCTCCAACCAATAATGAGTCCCTTACTTTGTATTTCCTTTGCTTGTATGTACTCAGTCTACACCAACAAGTCATTGACTCACATGTTACACTATGCACTGTATATCTTCTGTTGTTTACAAACTCAAGAGTAAAATGTTATATACATGAAGATACATAACAAAAGTGGGCTGAATTGAATTAAAAGGGAATTTTATTATAAGTGTGGGAGGTGGAAATGGGACAACTAGGGTCATTCAGTTTTATTTTTTTTCTCCTTTCTCCCACCATTCTTCTGTAAAAATGAATATAAGAATTCATTTTAACTTCCTATGAAGTGTCCTCTTACTCCTTCTTACTGTCCAGGTTGGACTTACAAATTCTTTCAGAGAACATTCATTGAACTATGTTCACAGCAGTTTACTATCTACTGTGAGAAATATTTTAAAGTCTCAAGTGTGGCTACTAAGTAACAAAACCAGTTCTACAAACCACATGTTAAAATTAGTCTTATTACTTCATAATCATATTATGTTCAAGTCATATTTCCTACCTCCTAAGAAGAAACAATTCAGTTGGTAGAAATAATCTATAATATATTTTGAAAAATAGTAGCCACACTACCAAGAGTTACCAAGAATCAAATGCTTGGTACTTAAAGTATTTACTCAAGGAATTATTTTAGAAAGCCATTTGCAGTAAGTGTCAAGAACCTTAAAACTGTTCACATTCTCAGCCAGTTGTTGCTCATCCGAACCACAGAACACAGAAAGTAATTTGAGTGACAGTTTCTCCCAAGGATGGTGGTGACTAGTACCAGTCTAGATGCAGAGGAGAGATGGTAACTCACAGCATACCGTGGGTGCTTTGGGACATTAGGGCTTAATTCTCTCCTCGAATCTCAGTTGGAAAACCATAATTTCCTTTCTATAAATCCATCTTGAGGAAGGAACTGAAAAATAAAACATAGATTTCAATTCAAAATATGTCAAAAATCAAAGAGAGGAAACAATTTAAACAGTCAACTTTAAGGAAATGACTAAATGAATTGATACATTCTACACAATCCTACACAGTGGACTATTAACTAAAATGGTGTTTTGGAGACTAACAGCATGGGAAACTGTTTATGTATAACGTTAAGTGAAAAAATAGGATACAAATTTGAGAGATAACTAGAAAGATAAAATCATACATACACACATACCTAGATAAACTGAAATACATCAAAATGTTAACAGCAGTCATCTCCGGGTGAAAGAATTAGAAATTATTTTATTTTAATTTTTTTTAAAGATTTATTTATTTATTTTCCTCCCAAAGCCCCAGTAGATAGTTGTATGTCATAGCTGCACATCCTCCTAGTTACTGTATGTGGCACGCAGACTCAGCATGGTCGGAGAAGCGGTGCGTCGGTGCGCGCCCGGGATCCGAACCTGGCCACCAGCAGCAGAGAGCGTGCACCTGACCACCAAGCCATGGGGCCGGCCCTAGAAATGATTTTAAAATGTATTTTTTGGTAGCCCTTTAAGTCCCTAGGACAATGTCCCAAAGCCCCTCGGGAGCTCGTTAGAATTCAGATTCCTGAGTGTCTCCCTAGATCGGGTGAATCAGAGACTCTGAATGATTTTGGGAAGGGGTCTAGGTGATTGCTAGACATACTAAAACTTAAGAGTTCTTGCTCTAGAAAGAGCATGATATTTCTTTGTCCAGTTTTAGGAAAGCAATCTAGATGAAAATGAAGTCCCTCCATGCTCCTCGGGTGGTACAAACCGGAAGTCCAGGACAGCAGGAACTGAAAAGAATGAATGGTGTGAATGATCACGATGCCTGGGCCCCAGACAGGCTCTAAATCTGCTGTTCCTGATAACTCTTTGACCACACTTTCCCCGTGTGTGCTGTTGGGAGAGCACAGGAGGACTGTTTGAGCTCCTCCCGAGGATTTTGCTTCTCTACCGCCTCTTTTATACAAAAACAACAAGATAATAGAAAGCAATAATTCATTAAATGAGATATGGATTTCCCTTTTGCACAGTGAAATTTATCTCAGCCTCTTTTCATGAGCAAACATAGATCGTTTTAATGATTTCCCTGAAATGTAATTAAAATCTGTTAAACATTACCATCTCCACCAAGGAACGCTGGTTATTCTAGTCTCAGACTGAAGCTAGTGGCTCAGCACTTGTCCAAGTCAAGAAACAGCTGCCCACTAAGGATGCAATGTGTTCCCCAAACCTGGATTTTCTTTTCTCCCCTGTCCTTTGCTCATAGTGCAAAACTAGAACAGCTGCTTTCTAGATCTTTTGCCACGGTGTAAAGGCACTTTTTGAAGACTGTCCCACCTGAGGTCCAAGCCACTGGGCAGAATTTGTTTTACATATTTGTTAGGAGGAGTAGGATTTCTGTCCCTTGGAGAAGCAATACAATTAATAGGATACTCTTCTGTGTCTTTAATCCTTTATCCGGGTGACAGGGCACAAGGCCACATGCAGATGGCTGGTGCTTGTGATTTTAGAAAAGACTGAGGAGGCCAGCAGCAGAAACAAAGCCATTTGGCTCGAATGACATACAAAAACTGTGCAGGTGCTGACTCACCAAAGAAGGCGGCATGGGGGAGCAGAGCTCTAGGCTCTCTGATTCAAGGGTCGGGACACTTGGCACAGGATCAAAATTTGCACCGATTGACATACATGTTCATAGTAACAGCCTGAGCCTTTTACTATGTGCATTTAATGGCAGCATTAAAATGACTATACACTGGTAAACAAAATGTGGTATTTACATACAATGGAATATTATTCAGCTTTAAGGAGGAAAGAAATTCTGACACTTGCTACAACAAAGATAAAATTGGAAGACTTTATGCTAAGTGAAATAAGCCAGACACAAAAGGACAAGTATTGTATGATTCTTCTTATGTGAGGTACCTAGAGCAGTCAAATTCATAGGGACAGAAAGTAGAATGGTGGTTACCAGGGGCTGGGGAGAGGGGGAATTGGGAGTTATTGTTTAATGAGTACAGAGTTTCAGTTTTGCAAGGTGAAAAAAACCTTGGAGATGCCTTGGAGAAGGATGATGGTGACAGTTGCACAACAATGTGAGTCTACTTAATGACACTGAACTACACTTAAAAATGGTTAAAATAGTAAATTTTATGTTATGTAAATTTTGTCATAATTAAAAAAACATAAATTTTAAAAATTTTAAAATGACCATATACCATAGATGGAATAACAACAGAATATGAGTGCAGTCTACTCACACGGATATAGAGGAACACCACACGGGATCAGGCCAGTGGGCCCTGCAGGTGTGCCAAGAGAGGCAGGATGGGAGAAGCCAATGATCTCTGGGATCCCCTACCCCCACCTACCAAAGGCCCTGAGATGTAGTCCACCCTTCTTACTTCCTGTGGTAACGTTACGCACCAATTTGCCCAAAGCTTTCTTCATGGAAGACTACTGCTGAGCACTCTTTGCTGTGTGGGCTGGGGTGCGGTGGGATGGCGGCTGTGAGAGCAACCAACCTGGCCTTTGGATAAAGGAGGAATGCCCAGGCTTGTCCTTACAAAAATGGGATGAGACATACTGTTTTGGACACCTAGCACCTCTGTCAAAGCCTAAAGTCCTGTGGGCACATACTTAGCAGCCTCCCGCCACCCCCATGTGGACTAGGAATCCCTCCTGCGTACTCCACCTGACCCCCACCTGACGCAGCCTTCTGGAACAATGCCTTCTCCGAACTCCCTCAAACAACTAGTCAGCAGCTCGGCTAGCAGCGAGAGGCAAGAGTCTTTAACTTAGATAACTAACTTTATCTAAAATGTTAATGGCTAACAAAGCAAATGTCACCTCCCTCCTTTCTTATTTACCCTTTCTATCTAAATTTTAAGAAACTCTGAGTGGAATTTTTGTTATCCCACACAAAATGAGGAGGCTAAATTCCCAGCTTCAAAGGGTGGTCCCTGACCCCCAGGCCTAATTCTAGGCCAGGATTGTGAATTGATCAGACTTTGGAGTTCTGCTCTTATCAAATAGTTTCCTTAAGCGGAGAATTTGTCTCATCATCTTTGCCCCCGCAGAGACTAGCAGAATGCCTTGTATGCACTATAAACAATTCTAAAAATATTTGGTGTCTGAATGCATTTCCAAGATATAGGTGTGGATTTTACTGGGCTTCACTCTCTCTAGAACTCACAGATGCTTTCCAAGTGATCCCTTTCCTCCTCCTTCTTTGTGAATGTCAGGTAACCCACGGCATCCGCCTATGTGCCTTTCGGGCCAAAAAAGCCCGGGTAAAGTGTGTGAGTTAAATCAATCCTAAAAGGGGATAAATAGGACAGACACCAAATCACATTCCTGTCCTGGGAACTCCCCCCACAGCAGTTTGGACATGATGTAATCAAGAGGCACAAATGTGAGAGTTCATGACTTTTTTTGGGTGTGTCAGTGCTTGGTGGGTGACTTCAATTTTGCATAACAATTGGCTGATCTTACCCCATTTTCCAACCTTTTCAGAGCATCCTGGAGCTGGAGAAGGAAAGAATTCAACTTTTATGCAATAACTTAAACCAGTACAACCAACATATTTCTTTTTTTGGCCAAACTCTGACCACAGTGAGTAGTACAGATTTCTCCATTTCTGGTATGTGTGGTAAGAACTGGCGGGAAACAGGTTTTCAGCAAGCTTGTTCTGCTTTCCTTGGCGTTGCAGTACCACACGCAGATTCACTGTGCCATCAGCAAGATAGATATCGAAAAAGATATCCAGGCTCTCGTGGAAGAAACCGCAGTCTCATCTACAGAAAATAAATCTGAGTTCCTGTTAACTGATTACTTTGTAAGTATGGAGTGAGAGGAAGTTCCATTAACGGGGAATCTTAGTCATGCACTGAGGGATTCATTTTGAAAAAAGTTGAGAGCAGTTGTAAAGGAAACTTCTCTTGTTTTGTACATGAAAATATTGATTTTTTTCATAGTCTGTATAAATAAAAAAATAGTGTTTGGTGTACAAACTGGGCAATGGAAACATGTCTTTGGTATTCTCTGGAAGGGAAGAAAGTCAAACAGGGTTTTAGATTGAATCTTCATACTCAGTCCTCTATATAAGTAATGCCAGGTAGACATGTTTCACGATCTATAAATTTGTTGTTGTTACATGCCGTCAAGTGGGCTCCGACTCCTGGCAATCCTCTGAATGAGTGATGTCCGTGATGTCCTGTTCTCAACAGCCCTGCTCAGCTCCTGTAGACTCGTGCCTATGGCTTCCTTTATAGAGTCAAGCCATCTCATATTTGGTCTTCCTCTTTTCCTGCTGCCTTCTATTTTTCCCAGCATTATTGTCTTTTCCAAAGAATCTTGCCTTCTCATGATGTGCCCAAAGTAGGAAAGCCCCAGTTTTATCATTTTGCCTCCAGCGATAGTTCAGGCTTAATTTGCTCTAAGACCCACTTGTTTGTCCTTCTGGCAGCCCAGGGTATCCATAGAGCTCTCCTCCAGTACCATATTTCATTTTATTTTGTAGGGAAGATCAGCGCTGTGCTAACATCTGCCAATTCTCCTCTTTTTTTTTTTCCTTTTTGCTGAGGAAAACTGGCCCTGGACTAACATCCGCGCCCATCTTCCTCCACTTTATATGGGACTCCACCACAGCATGGCTTGCCAAGCAGTGCGTCAGTGCGCGCCCAGGATCCGAACCGGCTAACCCCAGGCCGCCGTAGCAGAGCGTGTGCACTTAACCACTTGTGCCACCGGGCTGGCCCCCAGTACCATATTTCAAATGAAATTTATAAATAATCACTGTATATCATGTTGGTTGTCTCTTGCTGAGTAACAAATTACCCCCAAATTTAATGCATTAAAACAAATGTTTATTATCTCACAGTTTCTGTGGGTCAGTAATCCAGGCATGGCTGAGCTGGGTGCCTCTGAGTCCCTCACAAGGCTGCAATCAAGGTCTCAGCCAGGACTGCAGATATCTCAAGGCTCCACTGGGAGATGACCCGCTTCTAAGCTTACTCGTGTAGCTGATGGCAGGCCTCTGGTCCTCGCTGTCCATCGGCTGGAGATACCAGTTCCTTGCCGTGTGAGTCTCTCCTCCTATGGAGAGCTCACAACACATCAGCCTGTTTCCCCTAGAACTAGTGATCCAAGAGAAACAGAGCCAGCGTGCCAAGAGGGAAGCATAGTCTTCTTTAAGCTAATCTCAGAAGTGACATCTCCTCGTATTCTGTTTGTTAGAAGCAAGTCAATAATTGCAGCCCACACCCCAAGGAGGGGAGATTACACAAAGGCATGAAACCCAGGAGAGGTCTTATTTTCAACATTCTTTATGGTCCTTGCCTTTGAAAAACTTGCACCAACGGGGCTGGCCCAGTGGTGCAGAGGTAAAAGTTTGCGCACTCTGCTTTGGCAGCCCGGGTTCGCAGGTTCGGATCCCAGGCACGGACATACGCACCGCTGAGCAAACCATATTGTGTCAGGCGTCTCATATGCAAAATAGAGGAAGATGGGCACAGATGTTAGCTCAGAGCTAGTCTTCCTCAGCAAAAAGAGGAAGATTGGCAACAGATGTTAGCTCAGGGCAGATCTTCCTCACCAAAAAAAAAAAAAAAAGAAAAACTTGCACCAAATTACAGAGGCCCCTTTTGAGGGCATTTGGGTGATTCTACTATCGCATGACTTTCCTTGCCAAAAACTGATCAGCGTCCCTGGTTAGAGCCCAGGCATCTTGCCTACTTATCTTGGGGTAAGTTCTTCATCTTCTTGGGTCATGCCTCAAAGATTTTGTCCCCTCTTGTTAGTCTTAATTGTAGTGTTCTAGGAGTTGATCACTCAATACCAAAATCTGCAGGAGGAATTCCTGATCTCTTCTCCCTGGGCCCTCTGCTGTATTTCATTCAGACTTTCAAGGTCCAGATTGGGGGGCTCATTCCTCTCTGTTTTTACAACTAGCCTGCTGGTCATGTCCTCCTATAGGATTAAAAGTGTAGCCAAAGTCCCAGGACCCCCGCTCAGGGAACAAGAGATGAGGGGAGAGGGAAAGGCAGTTAGATCTGGACCCAACAATGAATCCTGACCAGCTCTCCCCTTCCCCACCCTCCAAACAGCAGTAAGTGGCCAGCTGTTTCTTTAACTGAATCTTTTTCCTACCCTGGCAAAGGCAAAGCAAATTAGCACTAGCAATGTTTCTTCAAAGCAGAAACGAAAGTAGAGATGGGAGTGGAAAGGAAGATTTGATTACACGGGGAAAGTACTTTCCTCTTTTTTTTTCTTCTAAATAGTGTAGGTGATCCCTGATGTGGGAAAATGTACAATAAAATATATCACTTTTTTATAAAAATGCCCCTATTGACCAACCTGTCAATAAAATAGGGATCATTCTCTTTGAAAATTTGACTAAACTTCTATGGAAATTTAAGGAGGCACCCACAATTTATCTTTAATTGACATGCCCGGGGGAATTTTTGGTTTCTGTGAAACCAGACTAACTACTACATATCTGTTGTCTAAGAGAATGGACTGTATCTCCAAATGGGTGAATAGGATTTTCTTAATATCCTTAAAGCAAAACACTTCCAAAATGTGACTTTATAGTCATTGGCAATAGGTGTACACTGGCTTTTATCTAGTGCCATGCAATTTACATGGACTTGGGTAAGATGGGGGAACAATCTGAGTGTAAATATTGGAGGGCTGGTGACTGGTGTGAAAATATAAGGTTACTGTAAAGGCCATGTTCAAAAGATTGTATCTGCAGTTTTACATGCCTCCACCAGTGTTGATATTCTTCCTAACAAATCTTTGGAAGAGAAGGATGAATTTAAGAAAGTTAAAGGACGGCAGTAGACTCTATCCTCAAGTTGACCCAGTAGTGATCTATCCCTGGATATACATTTTTAAACGGTAGGTATCCCCAAACAAACCAAAACAGTCATGGCCTGGTGTGGGAGCCAGATTATGATGTGCATTCCTCCAACAAGGACGCACTGAGGGTTGGGATTGGCATCCTTGTGGTTTAGTCGGAGCTCGCTTGTGGGTCTGACGTCAGCTTGGGCCTCAGCCCTGGAGGGACTGGAGTGGACTCTGGGAGAGAACTGGGGTTCACAGGAGTTGGGTTTCAGGAGTAATCTCTTACTAGCTGTTTCATCTTGGAACTTCATTTATTTCTCTGAGTGTCACAGGTAAAATGGAGAAAACAAAACCAATCTCATAGAATTGTTGTAAGAATCACATGTAATAAAGAATATAAGGAAACCTTTTATAATATATAATACAAGATATGTAAATAAAATATTTTTATCTATTCATTATATTTTTATAATGGCTCTTTGCTTTGCTCTAAATCCTCGTGCTTCCCTTTCTTCACGACAGTCTATCTAAAGCTAATCTCTCCAGCAATATTCAGGATCCTCGTTTTTCTCCTTTCTTATAAGTCCTGACTCCTCTGGTTCCACCTTCAGCCATTAGTTTCCCCTCTTTCTTCACCAGTTTCTGTCCCTCTGCTACACCCATGTTCAGCCACCTCCCCGTCCAACCCCAACATCCTAATTTTTTTTTCATTCAACCCTGGAAATAATGTATGTAAAAGCTCAGATATTGTTAATGACTTCTCACAGCCTACGTAATAAAATCCCTACTTTGGCCTGAAAATCTGGCCTAAACTAGTTAGACAACTTCTTCTTCCACTCTGTTTGCTCAAGCAACCAGTCTATTTATTGTTCCTGGTACATTTCACGCAGTCCTCCCTGTCCTCTGCTTGCACCATTTCTCCTGCCTGGAGTACCCTTTGCCTTACTTCCCCTTGACGGAAAAATGCTGGCTAAGTCTTCTCGCCTCCTTGAAGCTTTTGTGGCCCTGCCCTTGGTGAGCCACAGATTCCTGTCTGCACCATTCATGACTGCACGTGGCCCTGACTTGCCAGGTCTCTTACTGTTACGCTTCAAGGCCTAACTAAATTATAAACCCATTCTGGGAAGAGCGTACATGTTGTAGCTCACGTGTCCCCAGTAGCCAGCCAGCACAGACCACAGTAAACATTTGCTCCCCTCCTGGGGCAGTCCTAGCTTGAGGCACATGCATGATACTACATTTGGACCGTTAACAGATGGTTTCTTAGGAAACAGGTCTGGAACAGGTAGAACAAGCTGTATAAAACCAAAGGTTATCCTGCTTTTATTGTTTTTACTTTTTTTCTTCAGTCTAGTTAAAATTAGGTGCAGTCAGCAAGTCTCAGTGCAATCAGGAGTAGCAACTCCTACTTTCTTCCCCTTAAATTGTTAAACATCCTTTTTTGATTCCTAAAGGAAGAAGATCCTAACAATGCAATGAATAAAGAGCGACAAGAGTCTTCAATAAAATCAAAACTGTTGAGACTACAAAGAGATATTGAAAAAGCCTCGAGAGACCAGGAAGGTGTGTAACGACCTTTGCGGATGGCCCAGAAAGGGAAAGTATTCTCCTGGGAGGTTCCATTCAGAGTTAGGGTGATCCTGCCTTTGCTGACTGAGGCAGGGATCAACTCATTTACAGGACCATATGTCAAACCTAATTTATATGAATAAAGAAAAATAAAAAAGAAGAAAAGAGAGAGCAAAAAAATTGAAAATGACCTTTTGGTCTATCTGTGAGAGCTGTAAGTACTATACCATCCTTTCCAGAAAAGTAGCATTTTACTGTGTTTCTGAAATTGGCTAGAATGAGGGACAATTCATCTATTTTAAGAGATGGTAAATCTCCTGTGCACAGGGCTTTTGGTTTTCTTGTTTCTTTTTAAACGAACTTTCTAAATGATGTAAAAATCATTCAGATTACATCCTATACTTAGAAGTTAGGCGTGTTAGAATGTACAGCAGCTCTAAAGTGGTACAGATAACAAAAACAACTCCACACTTGTGATTCTGATATATATAGCTTATTTTATGTGGACCAGAACAACCTAATGCAACGTAATACTTGATAGAAAATCCAAGACAGGCGAATGTTTACAAATGTAAATGCCATAGCAAAGGAGAGTTTACCATTATGGTAAATGTTAGGAATCCGCCATAGAATGGGTCGACAAGGAGGATTCGTAAACTCATCTTGAAAAATAACAATCAAGATACTTTAAGCACCAGCATTTCTCAGATTTCATTGAACGAAGGTGAAGGTCACCCACTCAGCAAAATCTAGTAACAACTACATACAGAAACAGCCTCAACCATTTAGGAAATTCTTCTGGGCTCAGGTCCCTCTGAGCGCGACCTCCTCTCAGCTGCATCCCACTAGGACAGGATGAACAGTGACTGAGAGCATGATTGCATTTTCAGGCCTGGGACGGATGCTGAGAGCATACTCCAGCGACTCCTCCTTCTCAGATGCAGAAAGCCAGAAAACCACAACAGCCTTAATGGACGAGGTAAATATTTGCAGAGTGCAGTTTCCTAGATTTAATGATGAAAGAGTTATTTTTAAAATTCCTGTTTTCTGGCCCATTTGACCTGTGTTTGCCTTTCCTTTCTCATGACATAGAACAATCTAGTCAGAGAGCTTGTATGGTCAGCTCCTTGACAAATAGTTTCAGGGATCTGGAAAAATCTAATTACTTAGAAATGTTTGCTTTAGTGTCCTCCTGGGAAAAGAATTGTGCCTAAAATAGAATTCCCCAAAATAGAATCATTCTCTCAGGGTCTGGAAACCATGTGTACTTTAACCCAGTTAAGAAAGGTGACCGAAAACACAGGGTCTGCATTCAGAAAGGCCTGTATTTGGATATAGCTCTGCTGTTTATAGGGACCTGGGACAGCTTTAGTTTTCTCATCTGTAAAATGGAGATATCGGTACCTACTTCAAAAGGTTTTTGTACAGATGAAATATTATTTAGAAAATGCTAGCACAGTGTGCAGAGGAGAGCTCAAAAACTGGTAATTATCATTAAAATGCTATTTTCCTTTCATTCATCAGCTAACATTAGGGTCTTCTGAGAATAACAGGAGAAAGGAAAGATGTGATGGCACAGAAGAAAGAGGGCAGTCTGGGTGTGAGGTGAGAGCTTCCGGGGAAACAAGGAGCAGCTTTAGAGGATGAGGCTGTTTTGAGGGGAGGGGGAGAGGTTCTGTCAGGGGAGGGCAGGGAGAGGCGTCTCCGGGCCTATTTGCTGAGATCCTGGACTCCAGCAGCCCCCCAGATATTTGTGGGGATTGACCGACAAGGTGGCCATTTCAGAGGAGCCCACATTCAAAGGGCAATTAGCAAAGGCCCGTGAATTTTATATAGGAATAAAAATGAACAGATGTACATTACCTGTGCAAGATGAGGGTTTTCTGTTGTGATTAGAGTGAGAGGAAGCTGATTGGGGTTAATCTAAGAAAACTTTAGGAAGAGATACAATTTTTAGCCGTGTTTTGAACGATGTGGGAAACTAAACTGGGCCAGCTTTCCTTAACTTGCTCAAAGCCTAACAACTCTCTTGTGAAAGTAGGTACCTAATGATTCTGTCAAAATGGGCAATTTCAATCATTCTTTGGTGAAAGTAGACGGCTGTAGCCAGGTACATGCTATCTATTTTTTAGCAGAGGATTCCTTTAGTGGGGGTGCTGTTGCAGAAACAAACCTAACACTTCTTGTGAAAAGACAGACCTGAATTCTGTTTACTTGGAAACAGAGGTCTCACATACTCGCAATGGCACATGGCTACAATTTTTATGAAATTATAAAACAGATTGTGGGACATTTTCTGTGACAGCACAAAACGTTTCATTAAGTAATTCAGTGAAAATATTATTTACCAAAATAAAGTCATACAGAGCATTTTATGATGGCATTAAGTCATAAGTTTATTTCTTTGGTTGTTCTTACATAGAATTTTGTCATTGTCATTACCAGCATAGAACATGTATTAGGATCATCTGGGTACACCACTGGCCTGATTCACACAGTGGAGGATGCAAGGTGGGATGCATCTGAACTTCACGGTGTTTATGATCTAGTGATGGAGCACATATGAACCTTCAAAGAGTAGATGCCAAATATCCATGTAACCATTGCACACCTCTGCACCTGGTGGAGGGAAACTTGTGATATTGATAGATTTCATGTTACCCAGAGAAGGTTTCTTACAAGAGGAAACTCTGTTTCATTTAAATTCTTCCCACTTGACCGTCTCTTGGTCCTTGAAGCATCACATTTGAAGCAAGAATGTTGGCAAGGCATGTCTGAGAAACTATTGTAGAAGCTGGAGGTATTTAGAGTAGATAGTGTCTTCAGATACTGGAATGAGTGCCACATAGAGAGAAAAGAGACTTGCTCTGTGATGCTCTCAAATGCAGACTAGGTCTAATGGTAGAAGGTAGGGGGAACTTTTGATTTCATCTTAGGTAAACCTGCCCCACAATGCAGTGGATTGTTCAAAGGATTAGAGCCTTTCCCCATCAATTGTAGGTGTCTGGTCCATGGCTGTGACCCCCTGGCAGGGATGTTAGGATTAGAAGTCCCCATGCTGGAGGTGTGGAAAAGAGAGAGACAATGGTTAGGAGGGGATTGGATAAGCAGGCCCCTTCCAATGTTTAGATTCTGTTATTTGATTTATCCTGACTGAACACAGCCTGACAAAGAAATCATTATAAAGTTTCTAGTTTAAGGTTAAATTGAGAATAGAAGACTAGGAGCGCATCTTTAGCATCACTCTTTATTTCAGTACTTAAATATCCCAGAATATTGTTTCCAGTTTCCAGAAGAGTTACTACAAACTTTCTGGGTAATATAAGACCTCACTTATTCAAGAAAAACAATAACAACATCATCAACAACAACAAAAACCCACCTCGTATCATTTTAGTTTGTTTCTATTGATACAAGTTCAATTTTGTTCATAATGTTGAGCACCTATGGCTCAATTGCCTTTCTTCCATGCCCTCCAAAAATCTGCCTTCTGCAATCAACACCTATTATTGCCTTTCTCATTCCTCAGCAGAAAATTGAGTAAAGGTGTTCATTGCCACATCATACTGGGTAACATATCTATCAAAGTTTCTGGCTTACCCTGTTTATAAGAGCCCAGAGTAAGACACACTCAACAACTAAGGCTTTCCTCTAGACTGCTTAAAGGATTCGTTTTTTTTCTCTCCTCAGCATTTTCTGTGCATATCTACACATGAGTTGAATGTGTACTTTTCTAGACCTCTTTGTCATTTTGGAAGTTATCCTGGTATATCCCTTTACCCACCCAGTTGTACCTCATTTTCTAGACATATACTCACATGGCCAAATGATGTATCCACAGACAAATTTGAAACTAGACCTTTTGCAAGCAAACTCCTATAAACTGTCGTCAGTGTTAGCAGAACTTGAGAAAAGACCTCAACCCAGCCATCCCTGTAGTAATTCCATCTTCAAGTGGAAAGAAAAGGTAAAATTTTAAGAGATTGGTTGTAATTTCTTGCCTGGGCTTGCTGGGTGGAATGGCTTAAAGGGCATCAGGGCAAAGAAGCTGTTATGAATTGAATGTGTCATATGTCCCAAATCCCACTTGCGGAATTTTAAGATACATTTATTTTTATTCCTTTTGAGCATGGTAACAAGAGCTAAATACAAATGAATACATTCTTTATAAACTAAATATGAGGAGTTAAAAACACTTTAGATTCCTTCTTCTTCCTCCTCATACCTTAACTTTATCCTTTGAACATGCTTTTATAGTAAAATTTCTATTAAATCAAAATTGTAGTATTCATACAGACCTAAATTGTAAGATTTCGTGATATGCATTAGTCTCATCCGTTTAGCATAGTACATAATGTAGCTAATGTGTGAGTACAATTTTAAAAATTCACACACATTTTTTTTCCCAGTGTTACACTCTTTAGGAATTGATGGTGAGCACGTGAATATATGTGGGTAGCTATTGCTTGTAGCTGTTTTCCACTTCCTATCAGAAACTATAACCATCTTGCAATGAAGGGACAGTTTTCTTTCTAAGAGACTCAAGAGCTCTACAATGGTCGCAATCATTTAGACAATGTCATGATAATTTCACTTGCATTAAAGCCAATTAAAGTTGAATTTGTAGAAGTAATGTTGAAAGTGTTATTATTTGGCCTAGAGGTGCAGGTCAGAATTGCAAACACAGGCTATAAAATACGGTAACTGTCTAAGTCTGAAAATGTTAAGGATTCAGAAACAAGAAAGCCTCTGTAGTAGGATTTAGAAATGTATTGAATAATTTATTTATACCCTCCCCCCAAAAATTAAAAAAAAAAATTCCTGAGGAAAATAGCTGCAGAAGAGTTACTTTTCATAAATACTTTTGATGACACTGTTGTTAAAATGATTTTTTCTAACTATTTGAACAGCAGCAGACACACAGTTATGTAAAAATATCTCGGCCTTTTCTGATGAAGAGATTAGAGAATGTCGTGAGCAGGGCCTCTTCTGAGGAGCAGAGAATTCCAAGTTCTTCATCTACAGGTAATCCCGTGCCCAGAATAACTTGGGGCTGAGTCCTTTCGGTAAAGCACATGGCTACATTTACATTTTATTTTTAGAGCCATGTTGACATATATTGGCTCAAAGAAATTTACATTTCAATTAGGACTGATTCATTCGTTAGAATCTGTAGCTTTCTGTGCAAATGTAATCCGAAAGGTGGGAAGGAGTCAAGAAGAGTGGAGGGATGGGAAAAGAATTTTATAAAATGAGAATGTACCTCAGATGACTGGCATCCATGTTATTCAGCCTGTAATTTGCTGTCCACACAATCATCCCTAAACCATTGTGAGAAGCTCTGCAGCTCTGTCTCCACAGCCTCCAAACTTCCATGGAAATCCTGTTCTCTCTGCGAGAAACATGGTGATCCCAAAGCCTACCCACCCCCTTTATTCAGCCATCTGACTCTAGTCATTTGTCCATCCACCCCACTGCCCTTCACCTTTCAACGCACGCACACACACACACACACACGTCATTGTCCCTCCTTGTTCAGCTATAGTTACCACAACCTTGATTCTCTAGTGTCTTGGCTAGAAATTGGCAAAACAATTTTCAGTAAAACCCAGGACATTATGGTCCACATAGTATATTAAAGGTTTACCATCAGACTGTTTGAAAAACAGTTCCATAAATACCTAAGAATGAAGGTAAGAACCACATGCTCCAAGTGTCCACTATCTATACCTAAATGGCAAAACTGATGTGTGTTTTCCAAAACATGCATACCGTTATCACATGCATTAGCTAACTGATGTTGACTAAACTCGTGTGGGAAATAAATAATTTTAAATTGTCATCTTTGTTATTATTATTAGTACACTACAATATCTTTACTACAATAACTTTTTTCTCCATACTTATTATTTTCTATATTATGATATGGTTTTTGGTTATATAATATACACAGTCCATGCACATAGTAAGTACATCATAAATGGTTATTGAATCAAAGAAGGGTTATGGAATCGATTATGTAAAATTATAAACTTTCTTTTGAGCAGATGTCAATATATTCAAACTCTGCACCACACTGTTAAATAACTAAAGAGCTGATCATATTCATCTTGCCTACCGACACAGCATTCGTAATTACAACTTAATCTAACTTTCAGCCTCCCGTGTGGCCCAGGTCGGCAATGGTCTTTGCAAGGCCTTATATTCTTTTCAAGCCAGGCAAGATGATGAATTGAATTTGGAAAAAGGTAAGAATCATTCTCAAATAGTTTAATTGCTTTGCCATGTTGAAATCCTTAACTTGAATAAAACTCCTATCCTAACTACGGCAGCCGTAAAAGTTACTACCACGTCTAATCAGTTCAGGTTCATAATCACCCTTCTTAGAAGATGAAGATAAAGCATATCAAAAATTAAAGCTCATATAATAATAATACTAACATTTAATCAGCATTTACCATGTGCCAGACATTGTTGCAAGCACATTGTCCAATTTAATATTCATAAAAACCCTTTGAAGTAGATATTGCTATTTGTTCTCATTTTATCGCTGAGGAGACTGAGGCATAGAAGTACTTTGGCTAAAGTCACAGGTGGTGAGTGGCAGCACAGGATTTGCACTCAGAAGCTCAGTCATGCTCTTGGTCACAGTGTTACACTGGGGTAGAAAGTCGGTAACGGAAAGTCATTAAATACGTGGCCCCATCCTTTTCTTTTCAGAAAGCTAAACATACAGAAATGTGAAGTGACTTCCTCTCATGGCTTAGAGCGAGAGCAGGTTCTAGAATCCAAGTCGAAGGATGTTTCTCCCACTTATTTCTCAGAAAAGTGTTTTATGACCAATCTAAGGACTGAGACCCTCTTCTGTGTGTCATAGATTTTTGTTTAATGTGGAGAGGTATCATGTAATGGGTTATGTAGACCTCAACATTATTGAATAGGAAAACGTCACCAGCCTCAACTTTCTTTGTGTGTCCAGATAGCAACCGCGTTTGGATGTTAAAGTTAAGGCAGAGATCTGGAAATGAAAAGGTTAGCGAGAAAGAGTTGTGTCTTAGGAGAAAGCTTATTATCCATGACCAGCCCATGGCGCTCAAGGCCAACAGAAAATCAAGATGGATTTTGCAGCCAAACAACAGGGACACCACATATTTGCTACAGGTTAGCGGTTGCCTCCTTTCAGTTTGCCAACTAGATTTCTCCAGGTAATTACTTTTCCTTCTAGCTCAGAAATAGAAAATAGACCCTCTCCTCCATTCATCTTAAATCGACGTTGCCTTTACCTGAAAGTTTTAAGTGTGATAGAAGTCACTTCATTACTCATCATGTCATCCTAAGGGTACCTATGGCAGTAAGTGGGTAAATGAAATGCTATATTCCCACTTTCCATATGAATGAAAAACACGTTTCCCAGATGCCGCCTAGGACCCAGGGTCCTGAGCTTGAGTTACATAGTTACACAATAAATTGATCATCTTGTTTGTTTCCAGTTCTCTGTTGGTTGCAAAGCCTACTTATACTTTATCACCTAAGAGGTTTCTTTAAATGAAATGAGACTTTGGAGGCTTAGGGAAGCTGGCAATAAGGTTTTAAATTATTTGTTTGAATACTTGTTAGTAAATTGTGTCAATCTACTGACCTGAGAGAACTCATTAGAGGCAGATCTTAGACTGAGAATGATCTCCTACAAGAATAAACAGTGATTTATGACTAAGGAGAGAGAGAGGGGAGTTTCACAGTCCCCTTTGCCTTAGAAAGAAAATTACTGGGGAAAAGGATGAAAGAAAGAAAGATTGAAAAATTACCTCAGAAATGATGCTAAACATAAAGTAGCTCATGGATCCTGAAGGAAGTAGATGTCTCCAGTTTGAGGTGCAGGGAGCAGCCAGAGAGAAAAAACTCTTTCACAAGAGAGGGACTTAGCCAGAGGATTTGGGACACCAGTGAAGCTTTAGGGTTATCAATATCAGAATAGTATTTTTAAAAGATAGAGAATTGGGGGCCAGCCCCAGTGGCCTAGTGGTTAAGTTAGGCACACTCCACTTTGGCAGCCTGGGTTCAGTTCCTGGGTGTGGACCTACACCATGCACCTGTCAGTGGCCATGCTGTGGTGGTGGCTCACATACAAAAAAAGGAAGATTGACAGAGGACGTTAGCTCAGGGTGAATCTTCTTCAGCAAAATAAAATAAAATAAAACAAAACAGGGAATTGGAGAAGAGCCATCTGTTTCTTAGGCATTCTATTTATTGGAATCATTACTTGAAAAAAGTATTGTCTTTAAATTGATATTTTATTAAAGTTATCTAACTGTTAAATGGGGAGTTATGTTTCTGTGCAAAGCTGTGAGTTGGAACTTTGGACTAGAAGCTGGCACATGTAATGGAAAGAAGTTGTCTTGATCTAAAGAAAAGTCTCATAGCCAAGACATACTCACGGTAGTCAACATACCAAGCTATCGTAGCCACCAACGTGTGAAACTCTTAAAGCACAGACACCAAGAAAGAGTTTGGTGACAGCCCATCAGCTAGATCCAAAATGAGCCAGGCAGCAGAAGAAGGACATATGATCCAACGTGATTCTGTTTTCAATCAAATTATTTTATGCCATAACTCGGAGTCCATTATCTTACTCTTTTTAGTATTCTCTGCCTTATGCTTGCTTCATACAGAAGTGTTCGATAAATTTTACTTCATCTGAATCACATGCAGAAAGTGATGCTACCAAGTAACTCTTTGAAAGCAGAATCTCCTTAAAACTGTCTTACCAAGCAGGCCCAGGCATGCGCTCAAGTTGCAGAGACCCATTTGTCTAACTAAATGTGCATTTTCACAGGCGACATTGTGACTATATACAAGAAAAAAGAAGAAGGATGGTGGTTTGGATCTTTAAAAGGAAAAAAAGGCCATTTTCCTGCCACTTATGTAGAGGAGCTCCCTTCAAATGCTGATAATACGGCTTCTCAGGTGTAAAACAAGATTCTGAATGTACCACCTTACTCTGTAAACTGTATAATGTGCAAATAAAGATAAATGCTGTGATCTTTACAAGTTTATCTTTCTAAATGAGTGATGGAGTCCTACCTGCATGTCACAGCACTTTGCTCTCTCAGTTATTTGCTTGAAGCAGAGTCAGAAGATGGAAGGTGGAGGGAGGTAGGGAAGAGACTCTACAGGTCCTAGAGTTTTTGAATTCTGAGAGACCTCGAGATGACCCAGTACAGCCCCTGGTGTCACACAGAGACTGAGTCCAGGGCGGGTTAAGCCATTTGCCAGAAGTCACATAGTTTTCTGGCAGCACAACAGAGAATAAAACTTGATGATCTTTTCCTCTGACTTGGGTGGCAACAGGCCACAGCCGGCCTACAAGGGGTCAAGTGGGGCCCTGGAAATGAGGCAGAACATAGATTAAGTTCAAGAAGAAGAGCTCAGCAGAGACAGGCAGGCAGGAGATAGACCCAGTGAGATAGACCCAGGTTAGGAGACGGTAGAATAAAGGATTACGAGATGCAGCCAAGAGTCCATGTGATCAGAAGAGAAGGTGGTAGATAAGAGATCCAGATATGACGGCAGAGGAGCAGGGTAGAATGGAGTTCCATGCTGAGCCAATGACCATCTGAGGTAGTGGCTTCCTATATACCCTCTGCCCACAACCAGAACTGCTCTTAGAGTGAGGTTGAGTGTGAGCCAGAGATGGCTGGGATCTGAGAACCAGAGCAAGGAGGATAGGAAAGGGTTAGGAAGGAGACAGTGCCTGAAATTTCATACCTCCTTGCTCATTTGGAAACTTCATATACCAATTCAGAAACAAGGAATTCTGCACTTCCCAACTAGGTCATTATGAAAGGAATACCCTAAGCAGCTTCCTAGTGAAAGGAACTTTAAATGCTAATGAGTCTCTAGTTTGGATGGAAAGTTCTAGAAACCAACATTCACCATGAAAATGGAATATTTAGATTTATATTGCTTCCTCAAATGCCCTGTAATGGCAAAAGATTGGGAATGAGAGAAGGTAGTCCCCAAACTCTTCCCAAGGGGAACATTTTAGAATGAAAAAAAGTGGTTCAGCAACATTTTTCAGAAAATGGCCTAAGTCAGCCTGGAGATCACACACTCCATTGAGTGGAAGGTCACGGTGTTGATAGAAACATCTGGGCATGTTTACTTTGGGGCCAAATAGAGAGGCTGGCATTCAAGGAATGATTAAAATCCATCACATTACTCTCCTGGCCCCTACCTCTTTTTTTTAATTTGTCAAATTTTATACTTTTAACAAGGAAATTTTCAAACCAACTTACATGTACTTTTTATACTTTGCACCATTATACTCCTATAGCAGGATATAACTAACACATAGAGATATTTATAGATACAGATATCAGACCTGGGGAACTCAAGTAAAATTTGTTATGTGAGATATAACTTACAGCCTAGAAGAACAGATCAGAAGTTTTAATGTCATCCTTAATGGTGTGTTAATGAAGGCTTTCTGCATGTGGAAAGTTGGCTGAATAAGAGGCCATTAGACCATGAACAGAGATTTTGAATTTATATTTCCTTTCCATCTTACTTCTTTCCATTAAGGCTTGATGGATAAAAAATAGCGTAGCAATTGACTGCATCCTACACTGGATCATTTGTATAGAGAAAGTGATGATAATGGTGGTAGGACCCTGAAACTCTTTGGAAGTAATTATCGAAGAAAGACACCTCCTCTTTCTTCATGAATCAGTTTTACTTTGTGAAAACATAAATGGTCTTCTTGTTTTGGAATGTTGCTAAAGATTCTTTTTGCATCTGTGATATATAATTTTAAACTTCAAAGAAATACTATAGTCTTAAACTAGATGAAATATGAATATAGTTGGGTATAACAGACTTACATATCTTCTTAGTAGGGCAAGAATTTTCTGGTTGGACAGATGGGGATGGTACCTGTTAGGTTTAGATAAAAATTAAGTGCATATTGTGAAGATTAATGATGTCCTCAAGTCTTCCATACAGAATAAAATAATTTTTAATATTAGTACTTTTAAACTCTTAATTGGGCTTTCATAATTATATTTCACTAAGCAGTTTCATATGTCAGGAAGTTTTTAGCAACATTAACAACCTGAAATATAGATTGTAGAGCCAGATTTTCACTGAAAACATCAGAAGGCATTATTCTACTATGTCCTTTCTAGTAGAGTAAAAACTGGTATATCCATCACACTATCTACCAGAAAGATCTATTAATTTCATTTTTTTTGCATTTTCAATTACCCATAATAATTAATATTCATAATGAATATTATGATCCATTCTGATCCATCAAAAAGTAATATAATATTCAGTTTGGGGTAATGTAAATTTTATTGCACAGTATTATAAAGCTTTATAGTATTATAACTGATTAGTAATTTGAGTATAGTTTAACTTTGTTTCCCCCTCCAAGGGAAAAAACCTCCTCTCCCAAAGTCTTGATGGCCTTGGGGGGTAATCAGCCTGATTCAGAGTAAGAGGAGTACATTATAATCAAAATAACATGCCCTGTTGTCCTTGCAATATTACATAGGAAGAATGTGTAATCCAGGGAAGACAGGCCTGGGGTCATGGGACATGAGAAGGTGAGATTTGGACTTGGACCCAAGGGTGGGGACACAGCACAGAAGAACAGGAAGCTTTTGTAGAGAGAAGGCAACTACATGGATAGAGTGTCAGAGATTCCAGTATGCTGTGATCCAGAGTGGAGAGTCTGGGTCCCTGGCCTCCAGTGGGGCAGCAACAGGAACAGGAGTGAGAAATCAGCAAGCTAGAGAATCCAGGTTGTGCTTATGCAGATAGGAGCTCAGCTCAGGCAAACTATGTGGACATATGGATGCCTGCAGCCTGGGAAATCTGCCTGAGGGAGAGAGCCCAGTATATACTAACCTGATCAAGGGCCAAGGGAATGAGGAGGAAAGTAGCTTTGACCTGAGGTGGGAGTAAATAGACTTGCACAGAATTAGAGTGAAAATCTCTTTCTCAAAGGAAGTATGAGATAGGAGAAGCTGACCCAGGAGTGAAACCAAACTCAACTGGTCGGAGAAAGACCTTGGTTCTAAGGCTCAGGACTAATGACAGATATCTAGGGACAACAAAGGGAGTCACACGAGGATGTGCCCAGAAGGGACAGGGGCCAGGCTAGCCATGTATATGAGGTGGCAAATGTGTTACTGATCTTAGTTACACCTGGCTTGTAAATTGAGTTTTTCTGACACTGGAGCAAATGGTGAGTACTTACTCCAGTGGTTCTCCAAGTGTGGTGCCTGGACCAGCAGCACCGATGTAATCTTGTACTATGTTAGAAATGGAAATTATCAGCTCCTACTTTACACTTAGTCAGGGACCCAGCCATCTGTGGTTCAACAAGCACCCTGGGTGATTCTAATGCAAGTTTACTCTTGAGAACCACTGGCTTTCTTCAATGAATCCTGAGAATATTGTTTAAACTGCATGACACACTGGGGAAGGAGCACTGTTGGAGAAAAACCATACACTCAGGGAGCCAGCTCTAAAAAAAGAATATCCCTCCTTTCGATCCAGTAAGTTTTTTAGGACGAGCGGTGTTGGGGACCTCGCTGAAGAACTCTTTCTCCCTGTGGTGGCTGCTCTAGCTAGGGGTCCCTTTTCCTCTTCTTTTTCATGCTCTTCCTTGGCCCAGGAAAGGGAGAATACTTTGGCCTACACTACACTCTCTCAAAGAAAATCTTCCTCTTTCTCAGCCACTTGCTTGATAATCTCGTTGACAAAAGAAAGCATGGTATGCGCCATATCTGGATACTAGAGAATGAGAAGCAAACAGCTCTCGCTCGCTCAGTGCTCAGTCGGTTCCTCTGTACTGCCTACTCCGCCCCTTGGCCCCCATCCTCCCATTCGCTCCCTTCTTCTCCACCTTCTCCATTCTCTGACAATCCTGTTCAGACATGGTAGACTAGTCCTGCTCAGGCTCCACGTTACACAGCTGGCTTTTCCTTCTCTGATCCAGCTTCTCACCCTGCAACTGTCAGATGAAGAAACATATCATCTACAATTTAGGAGAGAGGAAGAAGAAAGCCCGTGTGTTTATCTAGAATCTAAATTCTGTTCTCCATTTCTGACTGACTGTGAATACAACCAAGACCGTTCCCCATTTGGCTCCCTGAGGCTAATCTTTAGAGCAGGGAAAGCAATCACAAATACTTCAGAGGCCGGGGAGGTAAGATGAATAAATGAAATGGGTTGAATGTCACACTTTTTAGGAAGTGGTGGGGGTGGGTTGAACTGGAGAAAATATGCCCCACCTAAGGGTGTATAAAAAGTATATAATACAGTTTTATGTAAATTTTATTGTGCAGTGTAAGTCCTGAAATACTGTGCCCTAAACTTGTAGGCCAAAATGTTATGATCTCCACTCTCCTATACATTAATTGGTATTCCTTCACTTCTATGATGCTTAACGGTGCCCTAATATACTTATCAGAATATTTGATCAATAAGAACATTTTTAACCACACTAGATAAGCTGAATTTGCTGAAATAAACCATAGGGTTGTATTGAGGTTCATGATTGAATTTTATTTCACATGAAAAATGCTTTTTATTTTAACTTAAAATTTAACTTCACTCCCATTTTTTCCTAAGATCATACTAAACACTTCTTTTAAACTGATTAATGAATAGCCACAATATGTAAAGTTTAGACACCTAGAGTCTTGGAGGCAGGAAGTGACTTGAGAGATCATATAGCTCAACTCATCTATTCACTCACTCATTTATTTGTGCATTTACTCAGCCACTTATTCCTTGAACATTTTAGTGGGCAGCTATGTGCCAGATAATGGGCTAAGTGATAAAGATTCAAAAAATAAGTAAATCTAGCCCTAAACTCAAAGAGTTCACAATCTAGTGGAAAAGACAAAAATGGAAACAAAATATTGAAATACAATGTAAAATAGTTTACATGTACAAAATCACGGTTGAATTGCATTATTTTCCATTTTTTTAAAGCTTTTTTGTGGTATAATTTACATACAACAAAATCAC